ATTAATTGTGTTAATTACAGACCTTGTAATTATTTACTCTCTAGGGGTCTTTGGGTTGGGGTTCTGAGGTTAATATGAGGGATCAGGATTAATGGTTAATTATTGGTACTGAGGTCGGGGATAGGCTGTCTAGGGCTATCCCTAGTTGGTTAGTTTTGCGCATTTCCTACTCTTTTCAAAAAATATGACAACGCGCTTGTCCTCCTCCGCCTCATCTCATTAAGAACTGATGCGCAGGGGGTACCCAACGCGTCCGGAGCTGGACACAGATGGCTACCTGACCAAGCTTCAATATGTTGATGAGTCGGGAGTGAGAATGGGTTGTTTTATCAGACAGAGATTTATTTATTTTCAGTAGTGGGCACAGCTAACCAAAATAACTTTACTAGCTCCTAAACTGCCAAAATTTCTTAGTTCTGCTCACAACAAAAAGCTAAATTGATAAATATGTCAGCAACTAAAGATAAACCACCAATATTTTACATACCAACATTTAGTCAACCATGTGTCAGCCACTTCCAGTTTTACACTCAATAACTAAACTTCAACACAGACATCAAACCAAACCAAAATGTGACAAATGTACATAAGTCAAGACAACTAAAAATCCTTCATAGATCACATATAAAAGCATTTCTGTCTCCTTTAGAGGTTACGTTCGAGAAAACAGAAACTAAATCATGATGCATGCTGGGTGCTGGCTGCAATATTTTATGATAAAGCCAGGACGGAGAGCTGTCAAACAGGAAAGCGGACATGGGCGGGGAATTGGCAGTTAAAAATTACAGCCTGTGAAATTGTGTTCCTGCTGATTTAGTTCTTATATTTAAACACTGTTAACACTAAATAATTAATATTTGTATGCTCCAAATTTAAGCAAAGATGTGCGTCTTCAGTTTACTTCTCCATGATTGTACAGAACTAGACTGAGACCATTTAAAAGGTCTTCGCACGTGTTTTGATTTACTCAACTGATTAGAGTGTGGCATCATGTGTCTTCAATATCTATCTATCTATCTATCTATCTATCTATCTATCTATCTATCTATCTATCTATCTATCTATCTATCTATCTATCTATCTATCTATC